GTTTTGCTAATGGATATAAAGACAAACTAAAGATGGCTGAACAGTAGGTTGGAGAGATGGTATTGACCATAACACTGGGGTTAGCCCAGAAACTGATGTCACTTGGTTTCAGTACTTGCTGTATCAGCATTAGAGATTCCCCCTCGTGTGTGTATAATTCATAAGCATTTTCTTAGCTAGTCAATCAAAGGGCTCTGACAAAAATGTATCATCAAAGATAAAGAAACAAACTATACATAGATGAAGAAGGCTATCATTGTTTCAGTGTCTTAGAATTTCCTCTCTGAGTCAGAGACTTGTAGCCATGAGAACTATGAGAGCGATAGTCTTTAGTACTGTCAGGAAATTTTCTTCTTATTGGTGAATTGTTGAACACATCCCACAAAATCATGGAGAAGATTTGTTCACCTAACCAAAACTATTTGGGTGTCTAATGAACCATGAGTTTGACTGATCTAATATCATAAAAGTAAAGAAGCAGTGATAGCCTTTTGTAATGATTTAAACTTTCGGGCAATAAATTTGGGTCTGAGTGTCATAAACTTTTAAAGCTAAATGAAAACCACAGAGATCCCTAGCTAAGCCTTTCATTTTCTGTAGGAAGAAACTAACCCTGAGCAGCCTAAGCTAGCCAGCAACCTGCCTGTGGCCAGAACCGCCTCTTTTCTGATTCCCAATGAAAAATAGTTTTGTTTTGTTTTTTAAGCAGAAACCATGAAATTATGGAGAAGTTACATAAGCTACACATTCCGCAGTACTAGTCAAAACATGAAAATATGAATTTATCTTAAATCTGAACTGAAACCAGTATACTAGCAAGAATGGATATAGTCCATTTGATTTTATTATCAATTTTTTTATAATGTGTATGTATCTGTGTGTGTACTGGTACTAGAGCTTGAATTTAGAGGATTTTGCTCTTGCTTAGCTTTTCTGTTCATGGCTGGCGCTCTACCACTTGAGCTACACTTCCACCTAGCTATTTTTGCTGGTTAACTGGACATAAGAGTCTCCTGAGTTTTTATTCTTGGCCTGACTTTGAACTGTAATCCTCAGATCTCAGCTTTCTAAGTAGCTAGGATTATAGGAGTGAGCCACCAGCACACAGATATACTTTTACATTCTAAGGAAGGATTTTTGGCTGATATAGATGGCTCCAGACATTTTTCTTTTAAGCAGTGAAACAAAATTTAATGTACTGACTTAGTAAAGTTAGCATGAAATTTTTCATATTATATTGTCATTATTGAGGATATGTTTAGGTAATTATTGGGATATCTAAGTTATAGAAGTTTTAAAGAATTTTAGTTCTAAGTATTAGGAAAGAGACTTGTTACTCAAAGTAAATTCTTTAAACCAACAAGATTACCAGAGCAATTGAATTTATTAAAAATGTAGAATCCTGGCATGGTAGCTATAATACCAACTACCTGGAAGGTGGAGATTGGAAGAATTATAGTTCAAGGATGGCCTGAGGCAAAATTTATAAAGCTCCCCCCATCTTTTTTTTTTTTTTTTTTTGGTCGGTCATGGGCCTGAACTCTGGGCCTGGGTGCTGTCCCTCAGTGCTTCAGCTCAAGGCTAGTGCTCTACACTTGAGCCACAGCGCCACTTCCGGCTTTTTCTGCGTATGTGGTGCTGAGGAATCAAACTCAGGGCCTCGTGCATGCAAGGCAAGCGCTCTACCACTGAGCCACCTTCCCAGCCTTCTTAACAAAAAATTCCAACTAGGAGGGACATAGGGGAATAGGTAGAAGAATTGTAGTCTGAGTTCCAGACAAAACTACAACAACCTATCTGAAATAAGCAAAAATAGAGGAAAGTATGGCTCACAGAATACCTGCCTAGCAAGTACAAAGCTCTAAATACTAATGTATATATAACAATATAATATTATATAGTATATAATAATATATTACTATATATGATTCCTTCTGAGCCTATAACTCATTATAGTAAGGTACCTGATTTGCATTTATGAGGCCCTGGGTCTAATCCCCAGCACTGAAAGAAAAGAAAAAAAGGAGAATCTTTTTCTGTGCCTTCTGAATGACTATCACCAAGTTTCTAGGTGATTTCTTGCACACTGAGGTTTGAAAAGCACTTTGATAGAAAATCTGAAGTCCTGGTTGTTTATTGTCATTTCTTGTCTCTTCCTTCCTTTCCTTTGCCTCTTCCCACACAGGAGATTAAAAAAAAAAAAAAAAGAAGAAGGGAAAAAAAGACATAAAAATGTCAGACTAGGGCTTGGGCTGCGGCTCAGTAGTAGGGAACTTTCTCAGTACATGGAGGCCATTTGTTCTAGAAAAACAAACAAACAAACAAATATATCATTCTGCTTTAATAGGCACAAAGAAAAATAGATGAAAAGTATTTAAAGGGGGAGAAGAATTCTATGTCTTCGCCTGGGGATTGACTGGCTCCGGATTTCATTTTGAGTGTTTCTCAGCAGCTGCAGATCTGTTCCCTGTCCTCATTCTTGGTCCCCCCCCCCCCAGCCATTATCCCCATCGGTCCCTTGTTTCCCAAACTAAGATTGCATAACGGAGTTGAGAAGTGGAGTATAGGAGTTAATTACACAGTGTTGGATTTACAGAGAGGAAGGGTGAGCCACAAGACATCAGAAGCAGGGACTGCCTGTTCCCATTAAGGACAAGGAATAGTGGAGGAATTATGGCTGGGGACCATGGTAAATAACAGGCATCCTGAAGTAGAGGGGAAGGGATTGTAATTAAAAGCAGAGTAAAATACTAAACCCAGGTGTCTGTCTACAGAGATGCATCCAGGGAGGGAGGGGTACCATGTGGCTATTAAGAACTCAGGATTGAGTTGGGCACCAGTGGCTTTTCCTGTAATTCTAGCTATTCAGGAGGCTGAGGCCTAAGGATCGCAGTTCAAGGCCAATCAGGGCAAGAAAGTCCATGAGATTCTTACCTCTAAACTACTAAAAATAGCCCAAACTATGGCTCAGGTGGTAGAGCACTAACCTGGAGCAATAGCTCAGGGGGCAATGCTCAGGCCCTGAGTTCAAGTACCAGAACTGACAAGTTAAAAATAAACAGCTCAAGATCAGAGCAAAGTCTCTCTTGGGTCAGATCCCAGCTTTTCTCTGCCTTAGCTCGCTGGCTGAAAACATGTCACTCCGGCTCTCACCCTCCATCTGAAAACAGTAGTGCTCACCTCCCAGGGCTAGAGTGAACAGTGAGAAAATCTATAGAAAGTCTACCCCAGGCAGGATGTCTATTCATTCACTGATTTATTGATCTTTCAAATGAGCTTCCCTTTACACAATAGCATGATTTTGTGTGTCTTTCCTGTCTGGTCATGACAGAGCTGTATCTCTAAGGGAAATTATCCAGTATATTCTTTGATCTCCGTTGATGTAGTGATTATTATGCTTGATGTGCTGAAAGAAAATGGAAATGGTCTAGTCATCACTAAAGGCTTAGAGATCTGAATGAAAAGAGATGTGGTGTGTGTGTGTGTGTGTGTGTGTGTGTGTGTGTGTGTGTGTGTGTGTGTGTGTGTGTGCGCCTGCACTAGAGTTTGAATTCAGGGCTTGTTCTCTGTCCCTATTTTGCTCAAGGCTGATGCTCTACCACTTGAAACACAGCTCTACTTCCAACTTTTTTTTGCTGGCTAATTGGAGATGAGTCTCAGAGACTTTTCGTGCCCAGGCTGGCTTCAAATTGTTATCCTCAGACCCGATTACAGGCATAAACCACTGGCACCTGGCAAGAGATGACATTTTTACATAGGGGGAAAAAACTGACAGATCATCCCAAAGTTATGTCCTCAGGTGTTGAAATAGTATGCTTTTATGGTATAAATTGCTACGGAGAGACAATTACCACTATTCCTCCTTCAATAAAAAAGAAAGAAGACCACTATTAGGTAAAACTAGGCTGATTTTTCTTAAAGTCTACTCAATGTTTAGCCACTGTTTTGAAAGCATAGGAACTTTTGAATCTTGAGTTTTGAATGTTGCTGTTTAGAGAGCTGGATGGATAAAGTAATGATCCCTTTAGGATAGCCACAGGCTGCATTGTGAAAGGAACAAACGCATGGGGAGCATGAGTTCTGATGGGTGTCCACTGGTGCTGGTGAATGATTGCATCATGCTATCTTATGCTGGTCACTTTTTAATTCATTGAAAAAAATGCAAGCTGTAATGGTGCTCCAGTAGCTCACGCCTATAATTCCAGATACTCAGGAAACTGAGATTTGAAAATCATGGTTCAAAGCCAGCCCTGGCAGAAAAGTCCCTGTGACTCTTGTCTCCCATTAACAAGTGAAAAGCTAGGAGTAGAGCTGTGACTCAAGTAGTAGAGTGCCAACCTGTGAACACAAACGCTCATGGGACAGCAACCAGGCCTTGAGTTCAAGCCCTCACTCTGGCACACACACACACATACACACACCACACCACACACATACCACACACACATACAGATTCAGACTTGTGAGAAAATGGGAAAGTAAAAGAAGTGTGTATGTCTCAGCAGCAGAAAGGTTACCATTATGGAGCTTGAGAAGATTTCCATGATGGAAATAATAGGAAGAAAAGGTAGCTGAGAGCTATATTGCAATATTGTAATGTTGCTTCCCTGTTTGCTACCCTTTGTGGCTCCTGTCCTCCACGTTAGGACAGGATTCTAGAAATATACTTCTCTTGGCCTGTTGGGTGAAAGTAGAGGGGGTGATGGATTTGGGCAGGGGAGAATGGGAAAATCCGAATAGATGGCAGGAAGGTAGGCAGCAGCACTTGTAGGATATGAAAGATGATTTTCTGTGGCCACTGTGCAGGAAGAAGCAAAGGCTGCCTCTGTTTCCTGAAATGAGAGGCGCGGAGCATCCCGCAGTGGCTGGCTGAGGAGCATGGGAGGGTCACTGAGGACCTGGCTAGTTCTTCCAGCCTGGGCCCCGGTGAGGCACTGGCTTCCTCCATCTCGGGTCCTTCATCTAACCCCACATTCTTTCTCTTTGTTTCTTTTTCACAGTGCTCATGTTTCCCAGGTCAGCAATATTTCCACCACTGGAGAGTAAGTTATTTCAGTTGCATTTGGGGGCTTGGAGAGTTTTTAATGCCTTTTCCCACTTGTTAAACAGAGTCGAAGCAATCTAATGGTTTATGGTCTTAAAAGATCAAGATGATGAGTGATTTTTTTTTCAGGCTACTTGTGTATACAGGGGAGAACAAGAAAATATTCCTGCTTGCATAGGACTACAGACACCTCCACTATTTGAAACTAGCAGCTTTGCTTTATTCTGTCTTGCTTTAAGACAAGGTTTTACGATGTAGCCCAGGCTGGCCTTAAACTCACTTTATAGTCCAGGCATTGAATTTACAATCCTCCTGCCTTAGCTTCCTATGTGCTAAGATTACACACATGTACCACCATGCCTGTCATGGTCAGGATTTTTTTTTCTTCATTACAAAAAGGTATCATTTTGTCTGTTATTAATGATATGAATTAATAATATCCATTGTATTAACAGTCAATGAACTCTGGGCAGTATCTTGTACTGGGCATGGAATGAAAGGTTAAAGTACTGACCATGTCTTTTCTCCCGACTTAGTCCATTTGGTTGACCCTATACTTTCTGACTGCCTATAACGTGCCAAGCATGGAAATCGATGAGGAATAGCAAATGAGCCTTCAGCTCTGTCCTTCAGGGTTTCCTGTCTTGGTTGCAGAATAGAAAGCAAATCAGCAATGGCAGCAAGTCCTTTCCCCTCGGGGCAGTGAGGGTGCCCTGTTTATTAGGCCTGACACTTGTCGCTCCTCCTTCAGGCTTCCACTTAGATGAAATCCAAACTCCAGGTTTTGCCCTTCACTGCCTCTCTAGCCAAATTGCTCATTATACTATGTGCTGGCCGAGGCCTTGAAGCCTCTGTTGGCTCTTCTTCAGCATGACCGGGACTCTCTCATCATTTGCTTCTTGTTCAGATCTGATCCCTTCTGAGAATCAGTCCCTAACCATGACCGTACTCACGCTCCGGCCTTTGCCAGATGGTTCAGAGGATGTCCCACTGTCTGGTACATTACTGGACATGTGCATTCCACCTTGCCCCCGGAGAATGCCAGCTCCTTAAACACAGGTCCTGGTCTGCCATGCTCATTGCTGTCTCCCCAGCACCAAGAACAGTAGCTGCCATGTGGTAGGCCCTAGCCAAGTATTTTTCAAATGACTGAAGAATCAGTCCTGCTGTATGCATTTCTCCATCATATCCACCTCTCTCATTATGTTCATTGTCTTAAAAGTATTTTCAATACAACTTGAATGAAGAGTTTCCTCTAAAACTCCATTTGGGAAATCTTGACTTGTTTTTAAGTTCTCAAAATCCATGTTATTTAAGAAAATGGTACTTGTCTGTCTAAGCATTTAGAAAACATGTTATTCCTTTTCAAATGAAGAAAAACATGCTTTGATCAATATAAATGAAAGAATTGCCATGATAACATACTTAGAATTAAATAGTGTGGCGATAAAAAGAAAAGGTCTAGATGCACCAATAGGTTCTAGAGATCTCAAAACACCTGTTTTATCTTACTGCACATCCTCTCCAGCCTATGTACTTACCTGAACAACTTGAAAAATACATTTTGGATGTTTACATGAATCCAACTTTCATCTTCCACATTCACAGTTTAATGGACTAGAAGCTGGAAAAGATCACACAATGCTATTATGCTATTTAATTGTTCTGTTGAGCTGCATTTTTTTCAATGTAGTATTTCCTATATATTTTATCTTAAAGGGATTCTAAATGTATAGTAGGAATCCTAAGATCCTTCTGCCAATTTGCTTTGTAAATCATGCTGTGGAGCTGCAGAGCTCGTACAAAATCTGGAAGAAACCTTAGCTTTATAAAGTAAGTATGGTATCATTCTGCGAAGAAAAATGTCTTTTCTCATTCTGCTTAAATGAAATGGCCCTTACTTCCTGAATGCTTCCTAGTAGTGGCTGGACTTCAGGGAACATTTCAGCAATTCTAGACTCACAAAGGCGAGAAACACAGCTGATAAATTGGTGGGTGCTATTGGTTGTTTTTCTTTAATTCATGATACCAAAAGGTTAAATAAATGTGTCGCTATTCTGTCTTTACTCCTGAAACACAAATGGTTTTCCATTGGAAATAGAAGTATTTCCAAAATCATAAGCATTATTTGCTTCTAAAGTAAATCTTTGATAAATCTGATGGCTTGAATTGACTCTTGGTTACTATTTTTTTTAAACCAGACTTTTGGAAAGAACCATCCGGTCAGCCGTAGAGCAGCATCTTTTTGATGTGAATAGCTCTGGAGGTCAAAGTTCAGAGGACTCAGAGTCTGGAATATCATCAGTACCTTCCTCCACATCCTCCAGACAACGGAGACGCCAGCCAAAGGAGCCGGATGAAGTTCGACATGGTAGAGAAAAGTAAGTCAGCATCCTCTCTCCTTCTCGCTTGAGTTTTTCTCTTTTTCATTTAAAATACACACTTAAGGCAGTCACTGTGTTGTAGTCCCGCCTCTCTTGTCCCTTTCAGTGTTTCATGTTGACCATTCCAAACGTTTAGCTCACATTGGAGAGTCAGAGGTGACTAGAAGAATGCCTCCGTGTCATTTGGTTGTCTGCTGTGTTGTAAGGAGCCACTACTGATTTAATGTAGCTCAGGCTTCCTTCTGAATCTTTGTAGGGAGATCTTAAGCATGGCAAGAAGAAATTGACATGTGTCTGTTTAGAGGCAGTTGACTAGTAGAATAGTTGGTTGTTTTTTTTTTTGTTTGTTTTGTTTTGGGTCCAGTCGTGGGGCCTGAACTCTGGGCCTGGGCGCTGTCCCTCAGCTCTTCAGCTCAAGGCTAGCGCTCTACCACTTGAGCCACAGTGCCACTTCTGGCTTTTTTCTTCTTGCTTATGTGGTGCTGAGGAATCAAACAGGGCCTCAAGCATGCAAGGCAAGCGCTCTACCACTGAGCCACCTTCCCAGCCCTAGAATATTTTTTTTTAACCAGCAGATTTTCCCTTTCTTTGAACCTGAGCCATGTCCCAGCTCCATTGTTCTCTGTTTCTCTGTCTCTGTCTCTCTCTCGTGTGTGTGTGTGTGTGTGTGTGTGTGTGTGTGTGTGTGTGTGTGTGTGTGTGTTTTCTTCGCCAGTTCTGGGGCTTGAACTCTGGACCTGGGCATTGTCCCTGAGCTTCTTTTGTTCAAGGTGAATGCTCTACCATTTGAGCCAGAATCTCACAGTTTCCTTCCAGGGCTGGCTTCAAACCATGATCCTCAGATCTCAGCCTCCATAGTAGCTAAGATTACAAGCGTGAGCCACGAGTGCCCGGTTTTTTGGCTATTAATTTTCTTTAGTATAGAGTCTTACTGTTTGCTCAAGCCTATTTATGCTTCATATGTAGCTAGGATAAACCCAGCTTCTTATTGGTTGAGAGAGGGAATCTTGCTCATTTTTTGTTTTTTTGTTGTTGTTGTTTTTTTTTGTTTTTGTTTTGTTTTGCCAGACTAGCCTTCAACTGAGATCCTTCCTGATCTCAACCTCCCAAGTAGCGAAGACATGAACACATCAGGTTTAATAATATTTTTTAAGTCAAGGTGGTTTGAATTTTCTAAAACAAAATGAACTAGATCGTTGACCCAAATGTTTCTTTGTTATATAAATATTATATTAAATTCCTACTGCAAATTGAAAGAGAAAGCAGGTTACATTGGAAGGATAATAAAGTTCTTATTATTAGGATATTAAATGTAGATATATGTAGGAGTGAGGTGGAAGCCTTAAGGAGGGAAAAAATCCCATGAAAATAAGTTCCTGGTAATTGGGTGTGGGTTTGTGGCACACACCTATAATCCCAGCTACTCAAGAGTCAGAGATTTTGAGCACTGTTTCTCAGGTTTGCACAGATAAAATCATCAGACCCTATCTGAAAAGAAATAACCAAAGCAAAAAGGGTTAGGATTAGGGTTTGAGTGGTAAAGCATCTCCGTAGCAAGCATCAGGCCCTGAGTTCAAATATCAGTTCTGCAAAAGAAAAAAAAAGGAAAGGGGAATTGAAAAACAAAAAAGATCTTGGTAATTAAAAAGGAGAGGTCCAGAGGTCTAAGTTCAAGGCAAATTAAATTACAACAAGTATGATTAAATCCCGACAATGTTATGGGAAGAATAGTTGACATTTATTCCACAAGTCATACACACACCATGGATGAGATCCACGAATGCAAACAGGAAGCAGCTTTTCCTTCCACACAGACACAGTTCATTTTGCTAAGGTTTATTGTAGCCATTCATTCACGATTCCAAAAGGTTGTGAAGTAGATCGAACCAGGCCCTCAGCCATGCCAGGCAGGCCCTCTACCTCTTGAATTGTGCTTCCAACCCTTTTGTGTTAGTTGTTATTGTTTCTTTTGAGATTAGGGGCTAGTCACTAACCTTGCCCACACTGGCCTCTCCAGCCTCCCTCTTCCATTTCCTGTGTTAGCTGGGATTACAGGATGCACCAGCATGCTCAGTTTTCCTCTTGATATTTAACAACAGACTTTAGCTTTTGTATTAGTGTACTTGGGCTCCTACAACAAAATATGCCAACTGGGTTGCTTAAAAGACAGAAGTTCATTTTCTCACAGTCAGGGGGCTGGAAGTTCAAGGCTAAGTTGCCACAGGCCTGGTTTCTAGCCAGACCTCTCTCCTTGGCTTTGGTGATAGCCTTTCTTCTGTGTTCAGGCTTTTTTGCCTTCTCTGTCTTAAGGATGAAATGAGCTACAGTGTAATGAGCTCGCTTAACCTTAGTCACCTTCTGAAAGCTCTTGTCTCTCAACACAGTCACTTTGGGTGTTCGTGCTTCAACACAGAAACTGTGCGGAGACACAGCCCATAATAGCTTTCATGCCTAAGAGGCCCTCAATTACAAATCATAATTGGACACATACTCCAGTAGGCAGGAAAAATACCAAGACTGACAAGAAGACTGAATTGAATTAGTAAAACGGGAATTTTGAGCTTAAGGCAAGGTCCCTCGGCCATCCTTGGAAGGTGGCTCTGGGGGTGTGGAGGAGAGGTGTCTGCCTGTGTGGCATTTGTGGCTGTGAAGGACAGAGTGGGGGGGCTGTGGGAGGGGGGGGTCGCGTTCTCTTCTGTCTGCATTTAAGCTGTATTCCTGGTATTCCTTATACATGTGCGTAAAGCCTTTTATATGTTTAATTCACACTAGATACTTTCCACATTCAAAGTTGTAGAAAATAAGAGCAGAGCTATATTTTTAAAAAAATGACCAAATGTAATATCACTCGGAAAATATTATGATAGTGTTTAATGTAAAATTTTTTGTCTCCATTCTAGCCCAAAGATAGGAATTTAGATTGCAGAATTAATATTTAATGCTATCTCATTTGGGGAGATGGTTGAACTGACAGTAAAATATGGTATCTATTTTTACTTTTTCAAAGTCCTTTATTTCAAGACACAGCCTTAGGGGTTCGGGAGGGGCTTTAATGCACAGGGAGAAACCCCCAAACCCCATCATTTCCGTCTTACCAAGCTATGTTGCTGTGCTGACAATTTAATTTGTTCCATGATACGCTTAGAAAAAAAAGTTTGTAAGCAATATAAATTTGTTCAAACCTCTTGCAGGAATATTTAAAATACATAGTTTTGTCTTAATTCAATAGATTAAATACAATAATTATGACATTTCTGTTTCTCATAGGCTTACATGATAAAACCCCATAACAAATCCATATTTCAGTTCAGTTGTTTGGTATTCTGTAGATTTCATTAACCAAGATTATCTACCTCCGTGAGATTTTTAAAATATGAATGCATTTTTCCTCTACTAAAATCCCTTTATCATGGGGGAAAATCAATATTCACATTCTAGAAAAGATACCTTTTTCTGATGAGGCTTTTTTTCTTTATAAATGGTATGAATTTATGAAACTGAAAGTTACATTTGACGATGAGCCTGTGGATGCCGCTCAGTGGTCTAACATAACCATCCCAGCACTGCAGCATATATATTTTCCCATGCACAGTGGGAAATTTCATTATGCATGTATACCTTTCTCCCAATCTGAATATGAATTACTTTTGGAAAATGACAAAAGCTGCTCCCTGTTAGAAACATGACCCCTGACAATTTGCCACTAAGAACAATTTGCCTTTTAAAGGGATTCATTTGGTCCCAGGCAGCCTCAACAAGGATACTCTACTGAGATTCTCATCTAAGAAGCAAACTGGAATTTCTGAGTCTTTCTTCAGCAGCAGTATTAGCAAATATCCCTTTCACCCTTTGAAATAAAATTAAGCTCTTTTTTCCCCCTTTCAATTTAAGGGGCCTCATCAACAAAGAAAATATCCCTTCCGCCTTCAACAGCTTTGACGAGTGTATCTTGAACACTCAAGAGGCAGAAAAGTTGCATGAACATCCTTCTGATTGTATTGGAGAAAGAAGCAGACCTAAACGTCAGAAATCCAGTTCCAAACTTTCCGAGCTCAATGAAAATCAAGATGGTCTCAAGGTAAAAACATACATTGATAATTTTATTTTACTTGTAGTTAGCACAACTTTTTAATAATACTCATTTCCTTCATTTATGCTCCACTTTCTCTGAAAATTAGAGTCAAAAATCTTTCTTCTAACTCCTTTTAGATTTAAAATAAAATTCACAATGGTGAGCTACTCGCTAACAGAACAGAACTAGAATTTGGCATATAATTACAAAGGAACTCTCCATTCTCATGCTTGGTGCGCAGTCTCTGGTCTACTTTAGCTGCGGCCACAGGAAGTTCAATGTAACTTCCCATTCATTCGCCCACCTCGCAGCCTCTGTCAGCTCCTCCGTGCTCTGGAAAGATTCTCAATTTTTCACTATGTAAAATATACATAAATACGAGTCTAGGAGAAAATCTATTTAGGTTACCTCCAAAAAAATGTTTTGACATTTAATTTCTAGAAATAAACTGGTCTTAAACAGATGGACACAAATACCTTTCTCAGAAGTAGGTCTAATGCAAGTCTCAAATGTAAGCATTAGAGTCATTACACTTACTTGAAAACTGATTATTTAATTCCTCTTTTGAGAGGAAAAGTAATTGTTTTGTGGTGCTGGGGAATCAAACTTGTGCTAAGTATTTGTGGTGCCCCTGAACTTCACCTTTATCCCAGAGACTAAATATTCAAAAGAATAAATATTAACAGTATCTGTTCTTTATGTATTCTGTGTTTGTATGTATGCATGTGTGTGTATGTGTGTCTGTGTATGTCAGTACTAGAGCTTGAACTCAGGGCCTGGATGCTGTCCTTAACTATTTTGTTCAAGGCTGATGCTCAGCCACTTGAGTTATGGCTCTGCTTCCAACATTTTAGTAGCTACTTGTAGATAATTGTCTCACCAATTTTTCTGCTCAGGCTGGCTTTGAATCATGATCCTCAGATCCCAGCCTCCTGAGTAGCTGGGATTACAGCATGAGCCACAGATACCCATCTCATTAATTCCTTATTTGGCCTATGATTTGTTTATTTGCCAAAGAGATTTATGTGGCAAAAGTCTGAAGCTTGGTTTTATGGCTTGAAAATAATGTACATCTTAGTTTCAATCCCTTAATAAGCTTAACCCATTAATAACTTTTTCCACTAGGAATCAAGTACATTTATTTGTTAGAATGTGTGCCTGAACTTTAAAAGTGTTTGGATGAGAGATCCTGCTTCTGTTTGCTGTGAAAGGATCTGTATGGCCCTCCAATAATTTCCGCATTCCAGGATTGTGCTTGTCACGTGTGGACATTGGTGAGCTCAGTGGGCCTTGTCTTTGTTACAGTGAATAAACTTCAACCATGCCAACACAACTTAGCAGGAAAACTTCCTGCTCAGTAAATTGAGGATATTCTCATAACCTCTTTCCTAATTCTCCAATTCCATGTGTTTCCAAATCTAGTCTTCATAGCTCACCACAAGGCAAAGAAAGCCAAGGAACATAACAATGATGGTATTAGACAACATTCTGAAAGTTGCACACCTCAACTTCTTACTTATTTTTGACCTTCTAATTCTACTTTCCACAGCTGTCCTCCAAAACCTTTCCCCATTCCATTTCAACACCAGCACACTCGAACCAAACATTTGTGCCTGTAGCCAGAAAAAAAAGAAAAGTAAAAGGATAAAGAAAGAGAGAAGGTGGCTCAGTGGTAGAGCACTTGCCTTGCATGCATGAGGCCCTGGGTTCAATTCCTCAGTACCACATAAGCAAAAAGAAAAAAGCCGGAAGTGGC